TTTAGGGGGGTCTAAAAAAAAATTTTTCAAAGACCCGCCTCTGAAATTGCGACCTGTCATTATTCTTATTTATGAGGAATGTTCTGGTCATAAAGTGTTACAATGTTACGCCACGTTTATAAACAGTGCTCCAGGCGGTATAAACGTCACTTGACACAACAGAGTGACGCATCAGGTCACATGACCGGCATTCTGGTTGGGGATTGGCTGGTGGGTGGAAGTTATCACTGAATATCTCAGAGTCAGATATTGTTTTATATTATGAACCTCCAGCTGTAGCTCTGAATGTGGACCCAGCACAGCGGCCGGGAGGTTACAACGGCTTCCAGAACCGGATCACAAGATCCTTGGGGGAACAGTTATAAAGCAGTGAATGGCCAGAGCCGGCCAGAGACTACGGGCATGCTGCAAGAGATGGCCAGAGACTACGGGCATGCTGCAAGAGATGGCCAGAGACTACGGGCATGCTACAAGAGATGGTCAGAGACTACGGGCATGCTACAAGAGATGGTCAGAGACTACGGGCATGCTGCAAGAGATGGCCAGAGATTACGGGCATGCTGCAAGAGATGGCCAGAGACTATGGGCATACTACAAGAGATGGCCAGAGACTATGGGCATACTACAAGAGATGGCCAGAGACTATGGGCATACTACAAGAGATGGCCAGAGACTATGGGCAAGCTACAAGAGATGGCCAGAGACTATGGGCAAGCTACAAGAGATGGCCAGAGACTACGGGCATGCTACAAGAGATGGCCAGAGACTACGGGCATGCTACAAGAGATGGCCAGAGACTATGGGCATGCTACAAGAAATGGTCAGAGATTACGGGCATGCTGCAAGAGATGGCCATAGACTACGGGCATGGTACAAGAAATGGTCAGAGACTACGGGCATGCTACAAGAGATGGTCAGAGACTACAGTCATACTGTAGGAAATGTTGCAGACTGGGGACATGCTTCAGCAGACAGTCATAGCCTGGGAACACATTAAACAAAACTGCTCGAGATCACCGCAACTACAGCTTCATTACAAATCAAGCGTCTATCAAGGGGTCTATAGGATCCCCAACGTGGAAACTTGTATCACATTTGATATTTGTGAGGCAACCTCCAATATAAAAAGAAAGCACAAATACCGAATAGGGTCTCCAGGGGCCCCGAGGGCCAAAAAGAAAAAAGTACCTGAACTATGAACAACAATGTATCTTATTTGTGTATCACTCGGCTGTAGATCCTCCAATCATCTCTGACACTGTCCTTCCTTCCCCATGGTCCTTGTGTGTGTTGTAAAGTAGTCACCGCTCCAAGCTCCTCCCCCCGGGATGGACTACAATCTCTGTTCAGTTTACTAATTGTATTGTATTGAGATTGTAGTCTATCCCGGGAGTGAGCTTGGAGCGGTGACTACTTTACAACACACACAGGTACCATGGGGGGCAGACGTAGCCCCCCCTCCAGAAGGAAGGACAGTGTAAGAAGTGTAGCAGTTCAAAAAGAGTAAAAAGTCAAACAAACGTGCATTACAAATGCATTCCAATGCGACGTCAAATCGCACGTTGACACATGTGCATGTGACCGGCGTGTGTTGCGTCTTGTGCCAGAAGATGTTTCTACAGCAACGCACCTATGTGCACATCTGTGCATTGCAAGGTGCATATAAAGCACCTCACATGTGCGTTTCACATGCACCATCCATGCAGAAGATCCTGGGCCTGTGTGTGCATGCTCAGCGTAGGAAAGCGAGGACATGTGAATGGACAACCAGGACCGTTCCTGGAAATCTCAGACCCACAGATCAGCTGACAAGTCATCAAATACAATACAATCTGCCCAGAAAGTTCCGCTAAAATGCTCAATGGGAGCAGCTCAGGCGCAGGCAGGACTTGGAATGACTCTAAATGAATGGGCACCAATGATGTGCCCTGCAAGGTGCCAATCAAAGCTGGCAGCACCCACAGACCACTGTGCGGAAATCATCAGGAAGGAAGAGGACACAACTATAGAAGTAATATAAATAGCAGTATACAGGGTGCACATGGGGCTTAAAGGGCTGCGCACAGAAAACCGCTGTGTGCTGTAGAAGTGTCCAGGAGACCCCCCCCCCTCTGATCACTCTCCCTCCGGGCTGGAGCTAAGAGCCCCCCAGGGCAGGATGGAGGTGACCCCCAGGACCAGGAGCTGCACAAACATCTCTCGCAGGGCTCAGCGCTGGAATCCCAGACTTCCCCGAGCTCCAGGAGCCCCCCCCCCCTCTGATCACTCACCCTCCGGGCTGGAGCTAAGAGCCCCCCAGGGCAGGATGGAGGTGACCCCCAGGACCAGGAGCTGCACAAACATCTCTCGCAGGGCTCAGCGCTGGAATCCCAGACTTCCCCGAGCTCCCCGGGACTCTGCCACGCAATGACCACGCCCACCGCATGCCACTCACAGACAGCCTCGAATCTGAGTGGCTGGGAGAGTTCGATGTCTCCGCCCACATCCTGAGCAACTTCTGATAACTCTTTCACTGCCGAAGTGCAATCAGTGCTGAGGACTGTTTATGTAACATTGTATCCATGTGTGGAAGTGAGAGAGAGTAATCCTCTGCTCTGCTGGAGGACTCTGCTCCTTTCTCTATAACTCTCCTCTCCTGAAATACTCTGCTCTGCTGGAGGACTCTGCTCCTTCCTCTATAACTCTCCTCTCCTGAAATACTCTGCTCTGCTGGAGGACTCTGCTCCTTCCTCTATAACTCTCCTCTCCTGAAATACTCTGCTAGAAGCAATCAGCATTCAGCTAGCTCTGAAGAACTACAAGTCCCAGCAACAAGTGCATTGTACAGGATGCAGATACACTGAGCACACAGCCAAGCCAGCCCAGGCAGAGGATTCAGCTGCACAGCAGCAGGAAGAATTTGGTATTAGCCTTGTACCTTAAGCAAATAAGTGCAGAGCAGTCACCCTGCACCCCCCTCTGCCTTGCTCCCAGTTGCACTCCCCCCAGTCTCTGATCACACTCACTCTCTAACAGTCCAGATGTTGCAGTGAGTACGTGCAAGGCGTGAGCTGTGTGCAGAGACCTTACAGGGACGTCTTTCCTGCAAATACCAGCTCATACACTGCATGTATTATTCATCCCTGTCCTGGCTGAGACATGCCTGCCCGTCCCTGCTGGAGCCAAGGATGAGTCCTGCACTGGAATCCAACGCCTTCCACCAATCACACAGCTCCCAGCACAGACCACTGGGGTCTATGGATTGTATTCCCGGGTCCCCCAGGAGGAGTTTATTAGCAGAGATCCCAGAATATAAACACATCATTTCTGTACGATCCCTACTGTTTATAAACAAGTCAAACTGTGACAGTCTGTGGACACAACATTGATCTCGTTGTAGCAATTTGTAGCAATTAAAGAATCTCTCCCTGGGAATGTTTGTGTCTGGAAATAAAATCACTTGCAGGCAGTGAAAGGTCTGTGACTTCCATGTATGATTTTGTCTATTGACCTTCAGTGACATGTGTAGATAGACATGTAAGCTGCGGAAAAATATATTTCGTTATTTCGGAATTCGGGATTCGGATCCGAAAATTCAATTCGGTTTGGGTTTCGGATTCGGATGAAATCTGAATTCTGCTCGTTTCGGACGAGTTTAAGAACGTATGTTCGTTACGACTACCACATAAAACTATATACCGATATTAATACTAAAGCTGAGGCTCCCAGACCCCAATGTCATTTGGGTCTAGGAGCCTCAGCTTTAGTATTACCGGTATATGTATATGCTGAGGACACATGTGACTTTTCTGGCCAATCACATGGCTCCCGTGTTGCCGTAACAAAAATTTGTGCTCAGACCCATTCGGAGGCATTAAACCGAAAAACACATCTGATTGGCCAGAAAAGTCACATGTCAGATTCAGTTTCGTTTTTGTACGAAATTCAGACTGGATCCGAAATTTGGAAATGGAAATTCGGATTCGGACGCATTCTGATGCATTGGAATTCGAAAATTTGAATGTGTTCCAATGTCCAAATCTCGGAAAATTTGTCCGAATTTTGTTTCGGAACAAAACGAATTGCACATGTTTATTTGTAGACAAATATAGTGTTACCAGCTGCAGTAGCAAGTAGGGAGCATAATTCCCTGTGACCACCAATGTAAGGAGCATCCTTCCCACTGACCACCAATGTAAGAGGCATTCTTCCCACTGACCACCAATGTAAGGGGCATTCTTCCCACTGACCACCAATGTAAGGGGCATTCTTCACACTGACCCACAATGTAAGGAACATTCTTCCCACTGACCCCCAATGTAAGGGGCATTCTTCCCACTGACCCCCAATGTAAGGGGCATTCTTCCCATTGACCCCCAATGTAAGGAGCATTCCTTTCAGTGACCCCCAATGTAAGGGGCATTCTTCCCACTGATCCCCAATGTAAGGGGCATTCCTCTCAGTGACCCCCAATGTAAGGGGCATTCTTCCCACTGACAACCAATGTAAGGGGCATTCCTCTCAGTGACCCCCAATGTAAGGGGCATTCTTCCCACTGACCCCCAATGTAAGGGGCATTCTTCCCACTGACCCCCAATGTAAGGGGCATTCCTCTCAGTGACCCCCAATGTAAGGGGCATTCTTCCCACTGACCACCAATGTAAGGGGCATTCTTCCCACTGACCCCCAATGTAAGGAACATTCTTCCCACTGACCCCCAATGTAAGAAGCCACTACAATTTTCACTGCCTGCATTTCTTTTCAGCCCATTATAATGAATATTCATTTCATTTAATGTTGTCATATGGAAATCAGGGGTGTTCACAATTGGGGCACCCGACATATCTTATGCTTTCTATGTGGTCATGTGTCCAGCACACAGACAACACGAATGTATCACGAGCTATTATATTTATTGTTGGCAGGGATTCCCTAAGCCATGATTTAGTTATAATCCCTCCCCCCTCCCCTCTTGTGTTCCCACCAGGAGAGTATTTACTCAGCTGTACAAAGTGTGAGGTAAATATAGTAATGGTGGCTGAGCTCCTGTGTTGTCTCAGGACAATGTCATGTTTGACTTCTTTTAGTTTTAGACTATCGAGGGGTCAGGGCTAATACTGAGTTGTATTGCTGTCTTTGTACTGTTGGAAATATAACAATAATAATAATAATAATATTATAACCTCACTTCCTGTCAATTTCTGTCTCTGGGACAGGAAGTGAAAAAAACTCTTCCTTATGGGGACGCAACAATAAACATGGCAGAGGTTCTAACACGTCCAATAGTTTGGCTGGAGCTCCAGTAACATAAAGAGGATTTTATCTCAGCGGCAGGAGAATTAGGAAGCGTTCCATAAGAATAATCACATCGTACAACATCAGTAAACCATAGTTGGTGGTTGTTTGATAAGCAGATCTTTAGAGCGCTGATGCCCAATCTGCATGTGGCCCGTGTTCTCTAGCAGTCCCTTGCAATAAGTCCCCAGTCTCTGACAGTCTCTTACAGAATGTCACCAGTCTCCAACCATGCCTCGAGCAAAGGAATAGGTGAATTCTGCACCCCAGCTGTGGTGGAACTACAAATTCCATCTTGCCTCTGCCTCCAGCAGTCATGCCTGTGGCTGTCAGGGACCTGCAGTGCCTCGTGGGACATGTAGTTGCACAACAGCTGGAGTTTCCGAAGTTGCCCACCCCTGCTCTAGCATGCCTGCAGACTTTGACAATCTCCTGTAATATGCCCACAGTCTTTAAACTCGACTGTAGAATGTCCAGTCCCTGACCATTTTCTGTAGCATTGGATACACTGTGCCTCATGGGGCGCATTGATGAATTGTTCTCACAGCAAACAGCTCTGCAAATGAGATTCCCAGCGCATTATGGCCACTAGATGGAGCCAAGGGACATAGAAATTTCCTGTGCTCCTTGGCTCCATCTAATGGCCATAATGGGCAGCGAATGTCAGTTGCAGAGCAGTTCACTGTGCGAACAGTTTATATTCACCCTCCTATGTGCGTCTCTTTGACGATGTCAAGGACTGCACTTTAGTCCCCTATATTAAATAGTTTGAGGATCTTTTGATCACTCTAAATATATGCAAATGGGTTTGTCTAATATTCCACTTCATGTGTACACTCACACTAATGAAAATTCACCAAAATAGTATAAGGCCCATTGAAATAACGAATCATGATACACATCGATAATGATGGTCAATGCGTATTGATGGAAGCGACTGGGAAGTGCGTTGCAAAGAAGAGTGTAAAAAAACGTATGGCAGCACACATGCAATTTAATGCAATTCCATTGTGGAAAACAGAGAAAGTCGTGAAGGTTTAGGAAGCGGTCCCGGGAATCCGGAGGAAGTAAGAGTGCGCTGGGGTCATGTGACCGCTTGTATTGCCTTTATCCTGTCACAAAGCAGAGGAAACAAACACATATGCTTCCTCGTATTTACTGATCACACTGAGAATATTTACCGACATTCCTCACCGCGGGTCATTAATACAACATAATCCATTTATTTACCAACAGAAGACTACACTGTGTCGTCTCTGGAGAGAGAGAGAGAGACATGAGAGATCCTGAACTTATAAATCCCCCAACATGGACTCACCCCCTTCCCCCCCTATATATCATCCCTTACCCCTGATAATGTCCCTGGAC